AGAAAATTATTTTACAGAAAATTACTGAATCATTACCTGTGAAACGTCAGGGACGTTGCTGAATAAGTATACTGGACAGTAACAAACAGCATGTTATTGTAATGGGCGATCTCGCAATCGCTAGTTTGTTGGCTCTGCGCCGCCGTAGCGCAAAGATTTCTGCCTACATGGCTGCGAGACCCGCTCCTATGTAATTATAAATAACGAATTCTAAGGCAACGCATGATGATAAATAACATAGTTATGTATAATATAGTACATTTCTGACTGTATATCCCTGTAATTATTACACACTGTAGCTTTAAGACCTTACAATATCTTAATCTGCTTGTATTAATTTTTTACCATAACAAGCAATGCTGAAATGCTGAAATAATGCTGAAATCTGTCAACACATTTACTTGGCTTTTAAACAGCATCTTTAATCAGCAACTGCAAGTGCTCCTCCAAGTTCACAACCATTTATCTACATGTAGTCTTATTAATAATGTTCAAGTTAAATGAGATCTTGTTATACAGTCTTTTTGCACATATGATACACTTGGGATGAGATGATGTGTAAGAGTGTGGGGCAGAGGGCCTCCAAATTAAATTTTTCTTAGGTCCCCAATTTGGTCAGGGGCAGAACTGTGAGTGGTAAATTCCATTTTAACAAACACTTAGACCAATTTAGTTCTAGTCATTATAATAATTTAAAGAAATGACAGTTGCTACATATAATTTGGTAAGCAATAAAAAAGGCAGCTGACAGTAATGGAAGTATAACTTAACTTAAAAAAATTGATTAGCAAAATGTCCAAAATCCACTAATTACCTAGTTGCATTACAGAAAATGTATAATTGTATTAACAATATAATGATTTAAGGCCAATAATCAAGGTGAGTTTACCAGGAAACTGTGTATTAAAGAAATCCATCCATCCATTATTGTCCCAATTGAGGTCGCGAGGGGTGCTATCTCCAGTGTTGGGAAAGTTCTCTTTCTACGTGAACTAGTTCAAAGTTCAGTTCACACATTTTAAAATGAACTAGTTCAGTTCATAGTTCATAATTCAAAACCAAAAAATGAACTAGTTCATAGTTCTTTTTTTTTTTCATATATTGCTCAATTACACCATAGCCTACTGTAGAACCACAGACAGAAATTATTTTATCAGTTGTAACTCTGAAACTGTGCGTCAGATTTCATCTTCATATCCAGTTTTGAATCCTTATCCAACCAGGGTTTACATTAGCATTGAGGGGACAGCATTTCCCCATTGTTGCTTTAACGCTTTGTTGCTGTCCATTCACTTCACACTAGTAGCAGCTGCAGCTTTTTTTTTTCTGATTCTGATTCCTGGTTGTTGTGAAGGAAACGGTGCCCAGCTTGAAAGAGCTCCTGTGTGTCGCTGAATGTGTGCATTGATGACTGAAAGACATCTTTTGTCTCCATTTATCTGTTTACTACAGTGTGTTGATTTCATGTTAATGAGTATTTAAAGACATTTCAATTAGTGGGGGAAAAAATTGCAGGGGGGGAATATAAAAATATCAACTAACCATGCAGACCCTCATGCAGTACCTCCGTAGACCCCCTAGGGGTCGCGGATCCCCTGTTGAAGACCTCCGCTCAAGAAGATTTTACTAACACAAACTGAGGGACCAGGCTGAGGTAGAAATTTAAGGTTACTGAAGTGCAGATTTTTTTACTGAAAGCCGGCGGGCAAACTTGTTGCCATCATCCTCACCGACCACCTGGTCATAAAACTGTTTTAAGTGATCATACTGCTGCTTTGTCGCCTCCACGCTGCTGTGGCTTCAACACGGCATTTTGTTTTGATGACGCACGCGGCTGTAGGCTACGACACTGGTAGCTGGTGTTGCCAGATTGGGTGTTTTTCCCGCTACATATTAAGGCCTGTTTACGGTGTGATTTAGCCGGGGTTTCGCCTGGAGGACTCTATAGAAATCTGGCAACCTATTGAACGGAGCTGAACTGAGAGAGCGTGCCGTTCACAGACACCAGAATGAACGAGTTCACAAAAACGTTCATCAGGCAGTAATGCAGTACGTTCAGTTCACGTTCGCCCAAAATATGAACGAGTTCATGAACTTTCGTTCAATGAACGCGTTCAGGCACAACACTGGCTATCTCCAGCTGTCAATGGGCAAGAGGTGGGGTACAACCTTGGCAGGTCGCCAGTCCATTGCAGGGCAACACAAACAGGACAAAAAAACCATTCACGCACACCTAAGGAGAATCTAGAGAAGCCAATTGACATAATAGTCATGTTTTTGGAGTGTTGGTGGAAGCCGGAGTACCCGGAGAGAACACACGCATGCTCAGGGAGAACATGCAAACTCCATGCAGAAAGACCCCGGGCCGGGAATCGAACGCAGAACCTTCTTGCTCCAAGGCAGCAGTGCTACGACGGCGTACTTAGTGTATCGAAAGTTTAACACTCACCGCAAGTCTTCAGAGACACTGAAGTTAATGCCGTCTGGTAATTCTTGCCTGCAGTAGGGGCAGGATGTCTGTCCAGCATCCTGGCTTTTATTTATGCATGTCAAGCAAAATATGTGATGACATGGCAAACTCACTGGTTGATCTGGCTCTCTCGTACATATCAGACAGTGAACTCCAAACCTATGGAAAATAAAATAAAGTTAGCTAAATAGAATTGAAATTTTGTCTCCTTGAAAATATTTAAAATTGATATAATATATAATATAATATGTTAGGTTAACTGGCTTCTCTAAGTTGTCCTTAGGTGTGAGTGTGTGGGTGCCTGTCTAGCCCTCAGAGTGAGGACCATTTTTCCATTTTCACAACAAATTGAGGATCAGTTATTGCAAAATGAGGCAATCCTAATTTTTCAACGGTTAGTTTTAGGGCTGAGGTGTCGATTGTGTTAGGGTTAGGGTGAGGTATGCTTTAGGAATGGTTAGGTTTAGGGTTAGTTTTAGGGTTAGGGCATAGAAAGGGTTGAAAACGACGGAAAATCAGTGGAAGTCGATGGGGGTCAACACAAGCTGCTCTCTACAATGGCAGAACGAGTATGGGTGTGTATGTGTGGCTATGTGGTTGTGTGTATGGTTGTGTGTCTCTGTGTTGCCCTGTGACAGGCTATTGAACTGTCCAATTGTACCCTGCCTTTCGCCCTTTGAATGCCAGAAATAGGCACCAGACCATCCAACCCTGAGAGGATAAGTGGGAAAGGACGGATGGATAGACATAATATAATATATATTGCCGTTACCTAAAAAGCTGATCAACTGCTGCCTGTTTACAGGACCTCAAGTTTTCAATCACAGCTTCAAATGGTTTGGTGGATTTTACATCCGAATTTCCATCCAGAACCTTAAATGATTTAAAAAACAAAACAATAATAATCATTAGTATCTGCACATGTAAAGATTTTCATTTATTTGTTATCAATGGAAAAAACAAATGCTTAGGCATTTGCTAAAAACATTTTGAAGGAAAACAAATAATAGATCCAAGAACTAAAAGAAAGGAGTAAAATGCATTTCAAATTGCCAATGTTTGTCACAAATCATCTACTTACCCTTCTCAAGATTTGCAGATGTTTTAGAACCAATTCCTTAAGCTGAAGGTCTTCATTTTCGAAACCAAGCACCATGTGTTCCACAAAGAGTGAGAGAATGTGGATACGTTTCCAGCCATGACTAAAACATTACAAATATGGAAAATAATGTAAAACAGAGTATAACAGTTTCATTCATATATTGATATGAGATAAGCTTTTATTTGTGAAAAAACAAATTAAAAGTGTTAGGAATCCAGTTTGTGTGGGTTGTGTTTTTGTGTCTTCTCTCCCTCCACCACCAGGTGGCGCCCTGTGCTCGGTCCTCTCACACAGCTGTGGCTGGTTGATTAATCACTGAGGACTATTTGAGCTATTTGAGGACTATTTGTCACTACCTCGGCGCCAGAGTGTTTGCCAGTTTTAGGTACTCTAGCCAAGCTGAGTTTTGCTGAGTCTAACTGAGTCTTTGTTTTTTTTCCGCCTTAGCTTAACCTTGTTTTAGTCTTTGCCTTTTTGGCAGGAAGCCTTCCTGCAAGCTGGATGTTTGGCCTTCTCCCCCTGGAAGGATTGTTTGAGTCTCATACTGAGCAGGGGATAAACCTACACAAGCTCCGTTCAAGTCCTCCTGGATTCCAAAGTGACCGTCCGCTCAATAGCTCCTCTGGGTCCAACTTAGTCTATACCTCTCCGCCCTCCAACGAGAATCTACCTCTGGAGAAACCCACACTGACTTGATTCTGGGAGGAAAGTTTTCTCCACAAACGTGAGTTCCTGTTTTCTCTGTCTCTGTCAGATCGTCGTTTAAAGTTCCCACGGGTCCTTAACTAACCACTGGTACTTCCCTTCCGGCTCCAGTTCCGGTTAACCAGTTCACTGTGTTTTCTGACTCCAACCCCGTTGGTTTCATCAATAAACCTATTCAAACTTTTACCCTGGTTCTGAGTGGTTAACTGCATATGAGTCAGATCTCTTAAGAAAACCATGTCAAAAAGTAATGTTTTTTATACAACATAATGATGCAATAGAGAGAGCAGACAGTGCAGATAATGAATAATCAAACCAGAAGACCAAATCAAGATTGTTTAAATTCTCTCAGTAATCTGAGGGGGTGGGAACAAGGCTTTGCAGAAGGCCTCCAATATATTAGACTGAGCTGAAACAAACTCTTATAATGTTAAACCTTGTTCTAGAAATTTTGAAACCATGCAATAATTATCCTCAATTAATTGAATCAAGAAATAGCTTATTTTTATTTTTTCATTCAAAGTTTATTATTGACCATGGAAATCAGGTCCGTAGAAATAATTAGAAAAAATAATCAAGACATTTAAAAACAAGTGAAGGAGAATGTGTGTTTGATATCACACAAACATGAATACCAGTGAAGCCACATTTTTGAGGTAAATCTAACAGTTTGAATGTCTGTACAATTGAGAAAAGTGCGATCAAAGGCCTACACATAAATGTATAAATGAAATTCTGCATGTCTGCAGGACAGGAGCATACACCACAGTTCACAAACATTTTACTTGCACTGCTGTACCTTGGGCCCTTCAGAAGTATTCTCATAGAATTATTCTGGGCAACAGTCAGTCTCTGCAGGCAACTCTTTTTGTTCTTGCGTCACAAGGGGAAAGTATACAATTAAAGTATACAAGGGACATAAGCACATTAGCCTGCTGTACAGTTAACACCTCTGCCTCTGCATATCTTTGTCATCTGATAGACTACTTGTAACAAAACGTTCAGCATACTTAAGCTCATCAGTGGCTGGAAGAGCATGGCCTCATAAATAGAAATCAGGAAAATAATGATTTTTTCATCATCTTTTGTTTTTACAACCATGATGTAACTTTTGGCAGCATTGCACTTAATGTCAAATTCAGACCATACCTGCCACAGATATTTTCAGAATAGCTGCTGAAGGTATACACAGAGGAAGACCAGGTTATCTGCATACATTAGATGGTTACATATAATGTCACCAATAATACATCAAGTTCTACACTTACTTAGCTGTACAGACAGGTTGTCAGTGTACATATTAAAAAACACCTTGACAAACCCCACTGTTGACCCAAAAGGAGTCTGAGATAGTTACCCAACTTATCCTGCATGATCTGACACGAGTACATTACTATACGTAGGTATCCTCATTAAATGCCCAGGTTACCTTGCTTTAATTATTTCCTGAATAAAGATCACAGACTTAGGCCTTATTAGTCTCTGCCAAGAACTTTATTTTCAATTTTAACCAGATTTTGTTCCTTATCTTCTGCCAAAGAAGAATATTTGCCTTTAACATCCTTGAAATGGCTGGTTGCATCTAATCTAGACATGACCTCAGATTTTGTCCCATAAAGAGCATTGCAGGTATCCCAAGTTGTTGCAATAGCTGTGTTGCTTAAAGACAATGAGAAATTGTCAATTTTCTGTTGTAGTGGCTTTCCCTCTCACTCAGTGGCTTTTATTGACCTCTTGAAGGACTATATGAACCATTCGGCGTAAAGGTTTGCTGCAAGAGGACGAGAACCTGAAGGTATAAATCATAAACCACTGCTCCAAAGAAAACTCTGGCACTCTGACAGGCAGTACTACTTATGAGCTATTGTGGCAAATATGTGTGTACAAAGAGTGACTGAAGAGTACTACAATGACTATGATGCCTCCTGTTGCTTCTTTCACAGAAAACATGTCTGGCAAATTCAAGAGAGCACCAACCACAACTAGCAACATTTGGTCCAGAAAAGGTCCAGCATGTGTGCTACTGTACTTCAAACACATAGGATCTTCAAAACCACCATAATATTACACAATTAATTACAGAAATATATGAAGAGATATATTATATTGCCAATTGTATTTGCTCACCCATTCAAATTATTAGAATCAGCTGTTCCAATCACTGGATGGCCACAAGTGTATAAATCAAGCACCCAACCATGCATCTCATACCCTCGGTACGATGGAAACAACTTTTTTACAGTCCCACAGTGTAGCCTACTAAAAATGATCTGAAGGGTAACTTTTTAGTAAGGACACACTCCATTCTGTCCTACCAGATAGATCCACTAAACAAGACCTAACTGGCTGGTCCACTACTTTCTGACTTCACCCACCATTCTTTACAAGGTGGCAGGGAGACAGCAAAAACTAACCCCACAAATAAAGTTCAAGTACCTTCACACATACCTCTAACTACCTGAATGTCAGAAGGACAAAAATACCCTACTTGGTGCCTCTTGAGGGCTCCAATGTGCCTTTTTTTCCACAGAGCTATCTGGAGCAATACAATTCTGAGTTTGTCATTTTCTGAAACTAGGCTGCTAAGGACACGTGTGGAGTACTGTCCTTTAAAGCACTGTTGAGGGTTGCTTCGACTCGCTGTACTGAGTTTAAAGAACTATTGATAATTAATTAAAAACTGGTGTAACTGAATTATTTGAGTTGAAAAGATATATAATTGGAAGTGTGATTTTAAATAACTCAAGTTATAAACCTTTAAAAGTATTTTAATGGGTAATACAAAAATGATAATTGTATTTTAATCATATTGATACTAAATCTTGAAATTAGTTTTTGTCTTTCTTGTAATACCTAAATAATGACCAGTTTTATGGAGTCATTTTTCTGCCAAAACGTGTACAAAAATGCATGTTGCGCACACACACGCAGCTCAACTAACACCAGCACTTTTCAGTTGTTTTATTGTATGGCGTCCCCTGCTGTCGGTTAATCAGAATGACAATTCTCCATGTATCACGTGACTTTTGGCAGAAACTTACAGCGGAGTGTGTACTCTTCTCGTACACGAGGAGAGGCTGCTTCGTATGCGAGCAGAGATCGTTTTGAACTCGGGGACAATTTAGAAATTATATTCTAAGTGCAATGTTAGAGTCTGGTTTGTAAAACACATTTTTGTGTGTGTGAAACATTTATGGACAGTTTGAAAAAAGTTGTATTTGTGTGTGACATTAGATGAGAGTTTGTCACACAAGTTTCATTTGTGAACAATAAGATTTATTTGAGTGCAACATGTTTATTTGTGAGTGATAAAATTTGTTTGTGTGAAACATGCTTTATGCATTTGCAACAAGCTTTACGTTAATGCATTTTTGTACACAACGTTTTGGCAGAAAAATCACTCCATACAGTTTTAACCTAATTTTCTCATTAGAGGTGTACTGAGATATACCAAATCTTACAACTCCTGAATTCCTCTTTTGGCTGGGTGAACAGGGCCTCATAATATCCTATGCCCTTTAACAGAGTTTGATCAGGCAGAGATCCACTTAAAAGATAAATATTGAATAGAAATACAAAACACAATTTCTCTCTTCTGGTTGGGTAGGGTCCTGTGTGTCTCTGTGTTGCCCTGCAATGGACTGGCGACCTGTCCAGGGTGTACCCCGCCTCTCGCCCATTGACTGCTGGAGATAGGCACCAGCACCCCTCGCGACCCCACTGACAAGCGTGTCAGATAATGGATGGATGGTTGGGTAGGCCCCTGACTTTATAATTCACTCAGCCTATTGTTTTGCTAGTGTCACATTACAGCAAGGTATATTTTTGTTTTCTCTTTATGTCATTAAGTCTGACAAAAAAAAAAATGTTTGAGCAGGCACAAACTACATGTATAGATAACAATATACACAGAAAGAGAGTAAGTAAAATAACCCTTTTTGCTGATATTTGTGGAGGGGGAAAAAATCAATATAATAATTCCCTTTTACATATATACATTTATGAGTGCCAAGTTTTATTCATTCAGGTCTCAGAGATGCAGGACTACAAGGTGTCAAAGGGAGAGAAGTTGGCAGTCTGATTGGGTAGTGTTTGGGATAAAAATGATAATTCTCATAGCAAAGTAGACTGTTTCCTAGGATCTTTATTCACAACATTTTACTGTTTGCTCCAACTTTCTGTAATTATTTTGAGTAACGGTATCTTATATGATCTTTACAGCCTTTATGCAGGGTTTGAATTAGTGAGACAAACTTTGTCTAGCCAGCGAAGGGCTAGACATAATGCCATCTTTTTCACTTTTTCTTTGCAAAGAAAATTAAGTGCCGTGAGATTGAATTACCATCTATTTCCATTATTTAACTGGACTGAATAATTTAATACTGTTTTCCCAGTTCAAGGTTTATCAAAATGCAGGTTAACTATCAGAAGAATACCACACTATAGAGGAGAATCATACCTGACAGAACTGAGTTCTTCCTTAGATCTATCCCCATAATGACGGAGATTACGTTGTGAGAGAACTGTTTCCATAGACACTTGAAGTCTCTTCACCTGCCTCATCCATTTTCCACAGTGGGTGTCAGAATCTAAACTTTGAGATTCCAAGTACTCAACACATGCCTTTGCTGCACGGACATCCAAAATCTGGAGAACAAAAATCCATTAAGTGATTCAATATTTTCACAAATATAAAGTAATTATTTTTCATAGATTTACCCAATTATCTCATCACACAATTAACTTTCTAATCATCTGTTTGTGGGAAACACTCACTAATTTTCTGCATTTAGAAAAGCCAACAACAGAAAATGCATATCAGTCGGGTATTTTTTACATGCAATGTATGTCTTGTAATACATTAACATATTTAAACTTTTACGAATACGGGGTATCTTCTTGGCTTATGCTGGTGAAGATTCTCATCCAGGTCATAGACATTCCAAAAATAGTTAAAAAGAAACCACTGGACAATCATCCAGAAAGCTTTCTCAATTCAAAATACCTGGAGTAGTGTTCAGTTCCAGGCTTTATAGAGTAGCCCAGCAAAAGCCTTGTTATGGCTAAGCAGAGGAGATGGACTCAGGTTTCAGCTCTTGAAAACTGATAACCCAGTGCTAGAATTGACTCATTCCTACTATCACCTCAATCCTCATCGACATGCAGGTGGTCAAAACATTGCTCCTGTAAACCAGGCCAAAAACGACCCTAACGACACCCTTTACAGATGAATGGGACAGTATCGGGTTAATTTGCAGACCAACAATGACCTCAACAACTCCCTATTACAAAGTGGTGGACTTGTTTTCAGTTCAATGTGCATGTTTTCTAAACCATAACAAAGCTTTTGTTGGGCTAAAATATAGGCCTGAAACTGAACGCTAATGCAAACATTTTTAATTGAAAAAGCTTCCTGGATGGGAAGCAAAACGTCTTAAAACTTGGAGAACAAAGTCCACTGGTTTGTTTTTAACTTCTTTTTTGGTATTGTCTTACTGTAGCTTATTCATAAAGTTGTTGGTACCATTTCAGGACAGTTTCTGCTGTGCTGGTTTCTTCGTAATGGTAAAACTATTTCAGGTTGAAGAGAAATAATCCGTGAAAGGTTTTGAAGGCGGCTTCGGAAGAAATGGAAGGCAAAGTGAATATGGAGAAGTGTAGGCTTTTCTGTATGGGTTTTTTGTCTTCGCACTTCTTCAATACAGCTGGCCAGAGCCTGACTCAGGAGCTGAGGATCAAATGCAAAACAAAAGTGGAATTATAAAAGCTTGACTTAACTGCAATATAAGAAAATACCAACCTCTCCAAAGCCTGTAAAAAATGCATTTTAGTTTACTTACTTAGATTACAATCTTGGCATTTTGATTTTAACAATAATGTCAGTATAAAAAAATTGCATTTATTTATCTTATTCTTTATTATCTGAATCACTTAAAAATTGTATTAATTACTCCTTCACACAATGAACTAATTGGAACTAAGCCTGATCGGAACAATGGTGGTTTCAGAATATTGCCCATTAACATCTTGTAGGGACCTTTATTTAGCCTTACCTCTAATTCATCAACTGATGTCACTTTAATAGTCATGGAAACAAAGTCTTGCATGTATCTTCTGAAAAACTCCTTCCAAATGATGTGTTTAAAAACAACTTGTGGAAATAGTGGAATGATTGATCTAAAAGAAAAAAGACACTTATATGTTAAGGGTTGGACTAACAATGCATGTTTTATGTTGAAAAGAACAACACATACATTTAAAAGTATATTTCTGTAAAGTTGATTTACCATGTTTAAATGACTGCATCATGAGCTCATCTAGGAAGTCTTTGATACACCAGCTAAAGGGCATCTGGCAGTGCATAATGTTTCCACCTATGACGTGGCTTTGTACTATTAGCTTACTGAAAGTCAGAAAAACAAGAAGATTTATATGAAAAAAAAACTCACTCAGTTAGTAATTAATTTATATATTTCCAGGGTCAAAAACTGTTTAAAAGTGAAGGTTTAAACATTAAATTTTAATGGTTATTTTTTAGTAATCTGGGAACAGAAAATATAAAACATCTTGAATTATCAGAATTCCAGGCAAACTAAAAAAGTCAGCCAAGTTTTTATAGATTTATCATTTGGCAGGGTGAGGTAAATTTGTTTATTACGCACCATTTATAAGCAAGGATATACGCTGTAATTGGCCTTGCAGGACATCAAATAGAAGGCAGAAAGAAAATAATGCATTTTTATTAATTCCTATTAAGTAAGCAAACCATTTAAGTATGAAAATACAAAACATGCAAAAGTACATTGCATAATGATAACATGATCAGTGTCAAGCAAGGTAATATCTCTGAAGCAAGATTAAAGAAAGTTCAGCTCCTTTTACAAAATACTTCAAGGTGCCTTTTTTAAGGCTGCCTCTCTTTGATGAAACAAGCAATGCTGCAACTGGCTCAAATCAGCCCAGCTCTAATTAACGGAGTGAGATAGAACAGGGCCTACAATGTATGGATTTACATTAGTACATTTGAGTGGGAGTAATGGCCTAGTGGTTAGAGCAGTGTGCTTGTGCTCTGAGAAGGTTGCAAGTAACCGGTTTGATCCCTAAGCCTCCACTCTGAGCAAAACTCGTCACCCAAGACTGCTCCCCGGAGGCCACACGATGGCAGCAGAGAGTGCATTTCCCCATTGTAGGATAGTAAGGGATTTAAACTTTTAGGTTCCAGGGAGTTGATGTAGTGATGGGCTATAATTCGAACGACCTACTGTAGGATTTCAAAGTGTCCATAAATGACTTAAAATGAGAATAGGTCAAATGTGAGAAATAAAATCCTAGTTTTAAACTGTTGCTTGTCAAACAAAAAAGCATTAAACTGAGTTTAGCACAAAGAACTGTGCAGATACTTTTAACACAGATTTTTATGGGGTGTGCTGACATCAGTACATCACAACATCATCTACTATCCTGTACTTCTAGATTTACTATTAATTTAACTGTAACCAATTATGATTTATCCTAGAGGAAGCTTTGTCTTTTTGGGTTTGGTATGGAAATATTTTGTGAAAGAAGTTTAGAAAAATAGTGAAAAAGTTAAATAAACAACAGCTTTAATTATGCATAAACAGCAGAGGAAAAACAACAAACAAACACTAATGCCTTCTAGGAGCCTGAAAAGATACACTCAATTCCTAGAAAGCACTGAAAAGAGACATTATCTACCGAAAACAGATACTTACTTAATCTCCTTTACAAAGGGCACTTTGAGTATTTCTTTGTTGCCAAAAATCTCAAACCACAGCTTGTAAATGTCATCCTCTTCATCCACAAGGAGGTCTAAATTGCAATCTCTATCAATGACTGAAACCAAGTTGGCTAGAAGTGGGGTCACAACAGCTTGGACTTTCCTCCATAGAGTGTGTCTATAAAAAAGAATCATGTCAAAATACATCTACTTAAACTCTATAAAAGATTAGAAATATTTCTAAATGTACACTGTGTGCAGAACTATTAGGCAAGTTGTATTTTTGAGGATTATTTTTATTATTGGGTCACAGTTGTGTTTTCAATCAACCCAAAAGACTCCTTAATATCAAAGTTTTATATTTTTGGAAGTTGATGTGTTTTTCTTTATATTCGGCCATTTTATAAGGATGTCTGTGTGTGCAGGTAAATATTACTGTGCAGAATTATTAGGCAACGTAAACAAAACAAACAAACAAAAAAAAAAAAAAAAAATATATATATATCCATCCATAGATTCTGTCAGTGTCTTGATCTGTTTGTGATCCACATTGCATGCAGCAGCCACCACAGTCTCCCAGACACTGTTCAGAGAGGTGTACTGTTTTCCCTCCCTGTAGATCTCACATTTCATGAAGGACCAAAGGTTCTCGATGGGGTTTAGATCAGGTGAACAAGAGGGCCATGTCATTATTTTTTTCCTTTTAGACTTTTTTTGACCAGCCATGCTGTGGTGTATTTTGATGCGTGTGATGGAGCATTGACCTGCATGAATATCGTGTTTTTCTTGAATGATGGCGACTTCTTGTGCCATTGTTTGAAGAAGACCTACTGCCAGAAACTGGCAGTAGGTCTGGGAGTTGATGTTGACTCCATCATCAACCCAAAAAGGTCCCACAAGATCATCTTTGATGATACCAGCCCATACCAGTGCCCCACCTCTACCTTGCTGGCGTCTGAGTTGATAAGGAACTTGCTGCCCTATACTGATCCAGCCTGGTGCCCATCCCTCTGGGCCATCAAGACTCACTCTCATTTCATTAGACCAAAACACCTTGGAGAAATCAGTCTTCAGATATTTCTTGGCCCAATCTTGATGTTTTGTCTTGTGTGTCTTGTTCAAAGGTGGCCTTTTTTCGGCTTTCCTTACCTTGGCCAGGTCCCTGAGTATTGAGCACCTTGTGCCTCTCGGCACTCTAGAGATGTTGCAGCTCTGAAATATGGCACAAATGGTGGCTAATGGCTTCCTGACAGCTTTAAGCTTGCTCCTTCTCAATTCATGGGGAATTATTTTGAGATCTCTTTTTTCAACACACTTCTTGCGCCCCTGGTGGCTATTTGCCATGAACCGCTTGATTGTGCGATGATCCCGCTTCAAAAGCTTGGCAATTTCCAAACCGCTGCACCCCTCTGAAAGACATCTGATGATTTCTGACTTTTCAGTCTGTCAAAACTCTTTTCTGACCCATTTTGCCAAAGGAAAGTAAGTTGCCTTATAATTAAGCGCACCTTATATAGGGTGTAGATGTCATCAGGTCATACCCCATCTCATTACAGAGATGCACACCACCTGATTTACTTAATTGGAGTAGGACAACATGTATGAAAAGGATGATGTGGTCGAAATACTCATTAGCCTAATAATTCTGCACACAGTGTAAAATGCCACTGCGAACCAAATCTGCAACTGACCAGTTACCTATTGACTCCTTCATAGGAGTCTCCAAAACAGCTGTAATTAAAGAAAGCGATAGCACTAAAGAAAAGCTTACACAAATGTTCCTCCTTCTTGAAGAGCATTGATATTAGAAGCTTGACTAAAGACCCAATTTTTTGGGTTGGGAATGGTAGCCTCATACTCTTCTAACAATGAGTGAAGATGCTTTCTCACAAGATTTGCAAAGGCACCAAAAAAAAAAAAAAAAAAAAAAAAAAGTTTATCTCACACTTTAGACTACCATAAATGCAAGCTTTGTGTTTTGATACAATGGGGGCATTATTTTGGCTATTGGCTGGTGTTTCTATTCTTATTGTTTACACATTAAAGTATCTAATAGGTTGTTGTTGCTGTTCAATATGATAACATACATCAACCCTTGTAAAAGAAATGTTAACACTTGTTTGGACTTTCGAGCTAAATAAAGGTATAGTTGATAACAATTTAAGTAGTACCACAAAACAGACTCAGAAACTTTCCATGAATTCAATACCTTTAAACTAGACAAGGCTGTTTAGTAACAAACAAACATTACTAAATAGTTAATGATGGAGTGGCCAACAGATAAAAAGGAATACAAAAATTATTAACTCCAAAGCAATTTCTTACTCTTTTCCAGAAGTGTTAGGAGGTTCGCAACTCTCCTTGTGCTGAGTTCTCCACTGTCAACAACATCTTGAAGCATGCCCACTGCAGTCTGAACACAGCTCCTGACTAGATCTGTTGTATCGAAAACATCTTCCAAAACCTTAATAAAAATAGTTTAAATAGGTGATATATATTTTTATTTGGTGGATTTCGGGTATTCAAAAATATAGTTTTTGTTTTGATATTGATACAAAATAAAGATAAAAACAACAAAATAAATTATTTTAGGTACCTTGAAATATTTACTAGCAATGTACTTTGAATTTAGCAATAATAATTCAAATACTTTATGTCTTTATGAGTTTGTAATTTTGCGTCAAAATGTTGGTATTACTCACTACTGACACTCCTGGTAAACAACAGTACAACCAAAATTCCTTGCTGCCATTTACTTGTCTTTTTCTAAAAATCTAACCTATACCAAATTATTTAACATTTATTTAATATCTAAATGGACTTTAAGCTTGACCCTGATCTCCAAGGTTTGTATATGAAGGTAGAATGTTACTTACAGTAAAACTGTCATTTTGAGGCTCCTCAACATTATCTTGACTCTGAATGGCTTGATGAAAGAGAAAAAGTGTTTTGTTTTTTTTCAAATAAAATGACATGTATAATACTTTGATAAATAATACCAATTTAAAATTACCCTTTGGTGGATCCTTAAAGAGATCACTAATGTGAAGATTTTTCAAGGAATGGACATCAGAAACAAACTCCTTTGATCTTCTGAGATCATCAATGTGAACAGACCTCCAAGGACCTAACGTAAATGTCATATTATTTATATATTTAAAGTGTTAATTTCTTTTAAATATTTTTGAATTGTAATACCCTCAAATGCAATGTAGAAAATATGTTTTGAAATATTCTATTATTAATAGAAGTAACAATGGTAATTGTTTTAGACATTGTTTTAAAAATGTTTAAGCAGATTTAGCATTAAAACTATTTTACAGCTGTCTGTGTCGCACAACTAACCGCCTTGAAATCCGATATATGAGGTGCCTCCTTGTTGCCGAGGGAGTTTTGTGACAAAGTACACAAATGTCTTTCTATCATCTGTTGTGAGGCACTTGTTAATTTCATTTATGCAGGAGTACCTGAGAAGTGCAAAGGAGTTTATTACATATATAAAAAGAAAGCAAAATCTATGATTAATCATAAAGTCTAAAAAGAAGGTCAATGTGGGATAATCTTTGCTCACTTGGCTGAGGAGAGAATATTTCTTTGTTGGAGGTCATCATCAAACTCATTTTGGACAATCAGCACTCTTTTCACGTCTGTTGAGTCAAGAAATTTCCTAATGCCAAGAAATAGTATATTATATAAAATACATTATCGGTCCCTGGAAACGATCAAGTATAAAAAGGCCATGGGCCTCATTTGATCCCTTTAATTAAAATGAGTATTTCAGAAGATAAGTATCTTTGTTATATACACACCTGACTGATTTGAGAAAGGAGTACTCTGTGTCAAATTGCAGTAGAAATAACATCTTGACAGTGTCACATCTGATCTCATTTTTCAGTTGTTCAACATCAGCTGATGTAAGTAGCCGGGAAAATGTTGTCACCTAAGATAAAATAATAATATAACTAATTTTAGTGTGTTGAAATTATGTTAAACCATTAAAATACACAATTTAATCAAATATCACAAAAAAATTAACTTAAATCTCAGGGTGCATTCAAACCTAACCTGAGTTCAACTTAAAAGGCTGAGGAAAAACAGAGAATACAAGATACAAATACAACAAGAAAAGCAAATCGAATCCATTCTATACAGTTTACAAGGTTGTAATGCACTAGGCCACTTCTTTAGATTTTATTAAATGGAAAAAAAAAAACACTTTACCTCAGTGAATGATGCTTGTGAGTGTTCAGACTGTTTTATGTGATATTTGATGTAGTCTCCCAGAGATCTGTGCTTATCCTCTTTGACATACTCCTTCATCCAATGGTCTCTCTCGCCATCACAGAGTATAGATTTGTCCAACCGGACAACTGAGTCTGGTGTTGCACACTTAAGCATAACAGCCTTGGCTTTTTCCAGAATGTCTTGATCATCTGTGCCAATACCTTTATTCTCAGCCACTTGATGGACCACAGAGGAGGGTGTGTCTGAATGGTAGCCAATGAAAACTTCTCTAGGAAGATACTTGCTTGAATAGTATAGATTCTCCATTAAGATGAAATTGTTAACCCATTCCTGTAATTGATTGACAATATCCTGCTGTTCCATTGTGAGGACAGTGTTTATGTCTAGACAGTGTTTCTCCAACCTGTTGATGAGTGGGATTGGAAACTGCTCATATACCACTTCTTTTTCTTCAATGACAATGAGCCTGAAATTTGGGTGAACTCTGCATTTCACACGATGTGTTCCTAATCCAAGATCAACATACTTCTGACCCCCTAGAGTCACATAGTATTGGTTGAGTGCATCATACAGACTTTCATACAGATTCTGTAGGTTAAGGAGCACAACTGTCTTTCCAGTCTCCATGCACATTTTGACACGATTGATGTTCCTACAAATCTGCATGTACTCCTGGTCCTTTGAGAAGCTGGATCCAAAAATGATCTCTGGATGGATATGATGAGAAGAGAATATTTGTTGCAGAATCTGAAGTGCTGCATAGTTCTTGGTTAGGATTAACAAGTATCGATTTTCCTCCATTTTGCAAGATGGGAGAACACTTTGTTTTATCATTTCGGTGGTGCTGGTGTTGGTATTGGAAAGGTCCAGACAGAATACGTTTGAGAAAATGTCAATCACTTTAACATCATCTTTTCCACTAAAGTTTCTTAGAACTGCTCCAGCGATTTCATCAGTAGTTGGGCTCTCATTTGAGATTTTAGTGATTAAAAATATCATTTTTATCAAACTGTAAAAGTCCCTTAGACCAAAGAAGCCTTTGCCCTCTTTGCGTGCTATCTCATATGCTTTTGCAAATGGTTCAAAAAGATGTTTTATCTTCTGAAGAATGTTTTTTTCAGATGCACAGATTCCTTCAGCACTTTTAATAAGTTCTTTCTCACTTAAATCTCCCCGTGACACAAAAATCCCACGATTCATTTTGGCAGGATCCAGTGCCCAGTTGGAAATTCCAATGAAACCAACCCTCTGATGAGGCTGTGGCTTTTCATCAACACATCCCTCTTCTAGTAATGGATGCAGTGTTTTCAATGGCATTTTCGGGGAATCCTCAGCTAATCCTATCTCATCAAGAACAACTACTGAGGTGTATTCATCCAGATTTTTGCTCTCTTGAAACCGGGCGCACTGTTTGAATGTGCGAATGATTCCTTCAGGAGTTGAATGGGGACTGCACTGGAAAGACACTAGATGTATCTGCTTAAGTCTCTTAAACAGGTCAGAGTGTGCTGTAGGGCCTTGCATAGCATCTGCAATCAGGGTTTTAGACAGGGATTTAGAGCTCCCTGGTTTCCCAACAATAAACAAGGGAATTCTTAGCTCAATGCAAACTACCATCATAAAGAAGTTCTCTCTCAAAGCTTCATTTCTGGCTATTGTCTTACCCAGGGGTACCCCACTTAGTAGAAGTTCTTGCATGAGATGAATTTCCTGCTGTATTCTTTGTGGTTTGTACTCTCTTGTAAGTAGTTCACTAATAGCTTTCTGATACTGTCCTTTACTCTCGAGGCAAGACTGATAGCATACTCCGGTTGCCATCAAGAGTGACCAGACAACTCTGTCACTAGCAGGGGAAAAATGTGGTATTTCTCTCATTTTATTTTTTTGTTGCAGTGACGTAAGATGATTTTTAAACATAGAGTGATTCTTGTGGAACCACACAAAAACTTGCATGCAACGTTCAACATCTCTCAGACTGACAAAACTACATTCATCGTTCTTCTCCCTCATGAACTGTTGTGATAATGAGCACACATTAGATATCATTGGAATGTGCCGTTCCTCAATCAAGTTGGCTTCTGCCTGCCTTTGAACAATTTGTTTGATATACATTTTTTCAGCTAAATCACTGAGTTGCCCAAAATCCCAAACAAGTGGAATCAAGCTAGGTGGTAACACATGGACACGATACACAAGCTGGCGAAGAGGAATGGAGCCCAGTTTTTCTTGTGTTTCCTGAGCATGGACCCTGTAGCCCAATCCAGAGGCCTCTAGCCTTTCAATCATTTCAGCTGTATGTTTTTTGTATGGGTTGCATGCAGCAATAATCTGCAGCCCTGTTTGAGTTTCTAGGCTTTTTCCTTGAACGGAGTGATCACAGATAATCTCTTTGATGCTGGTGATGGCTTCTGTTGTGTTTGCTTCGTCAAAGAAAAGAACAGAGTTGAATTTATGATTTTCTTTGTTTGACTTTGCTAGACCTTCTGCTTCAACCACTTTATCATAAATCATTTTACATGTTGTTCCTCCATGAACCTTGACGAGTTTCATGTTCTCTGCTGGAGCGCCACACCTTTGCAGTTCACACATAAACTTTATAAGTCTTGTCTTTCCACATCCGGTCTCACCCATTATTATGACTGGGATACCACACCTAAATCGCATGTGAATTGCCATCATTTTGAGGATGTTGTCTGTTGTCAGTTCATAGGTTTCATCAGGATCTGTTGGACATTTGATTCCAAGAACACGGCACAGATGTTCAATCTTTTCAGCTCTAGGGAGCTGATCAAAATCTACGTTAAAGGGGACTCTTTGATGTTTTAGCCCCCTGTAAAGATTTTGAGTCATGATGTTTTCTTTAATTACTTTTCCTGTTGAGGGATTTATGGCATCAACTGTATTTTGGATATTGATCCTCAGATGAAAGCCTATGAAGGTCATTGATGTATGGTCATCATTAAAAAAGATGTACGGGTGAGGTTCAGATTCCCATCTTTTCCGAATAAGGAATGGAGCTAAGTCTTTTTCATTTACTCCTGTTAAGTCAGCTTGTTTTCTTCCAAGGCTCTCATCAGAGATGCATAAGGATGGGGTTGCAAAGTCTTTGGACATTAAGATCATAAACTCAATTACAAAGTTTTTGAACCCTTGAAGGGTGTCTCCAACAAACTCAGCATTACAGAACACTGAATTTTCACAGTCTTGCAACTGAAGATTAAGAAACCAAACAAAATTGCGAAGCTCTGCCCAGGATGGATCCGGTACACCACAGTAGAATAAGAATATTTGAAGACAATTTGAATGAGTCCCTTCCGTACCCTTATAAGAGAAGTTGTCAAGATTCTCATTATTGTGAAAACGTTTGAGGTACTGGTATGGTCTCTGAAAAGCTTCATTCTGGAAACACTCATCATCCATAAGTGGGTCATCATTTTCAGTGGAAAGATTTTCCTTCCTCTGCATTTCCAAAGCCATGACCTCTTTGGGAGGTCGACAAAACACGTTTGGGAAAACATCAGGGAATGCAAAGTTTCCCTTTTGACCCTAAAGGTACAGAAACATAATGATTTACACCAATACAAAAGCTTTCATGCAGTGCATCACATCACGTTATATAAATTAAACTTCTCTTTTAAAAGCTAACTGTTCAAAGTACAGCAGTTATTTGTACTATATGCAGTGTAAAAAATACAATATTTTCTGCAAAAAAATTCTCGATTTCTAAAAGAAAGCAAATGAAACTAATTGTTAATGACCACAAATATTTTTGTTCTGAAAAATACTACGTTTTTTTTTTCTATATTCCACAATAAAAAAAAATAAAAAATTAAAGCCGCAAGTAGGATTGGGCGGCCCTCAAAGCGCAGCGCCACTTGGCCTATTGCGACCGCACGTTACCTTTTGATTTACTACCAAATGACCAATTTTGACTCTTGGCCATGCCTACGTGCTTTGATGTAGAAAACTTCCTTTAATAACTTTTGATCCCCAATGCCTAAGGATAATATACAGGGAATCTGCAGTATGTAACTCAAAACCTATAGGAGGAGTTTGTTTAAATATAGATGCTATAATGTGCAAATTCACAGTGAAGATTTGAACTTCAATCCAAAAAATGCCAAATTCCTGTGGGGTTCGGACCATGGCTCCAAGAGAGTTTTTCATAGGGTGTTGGTGGGTTACACGTGTGCCAAGTTTCATAATTCTCAGTATTTGCATGGCTCGGGGCTTGTTGTTTTAGTCTCTCTAGGGCAGGGGTAACCAATTAAAAATCAGCGAGGTCCAAAATAAAAAAAATCAACAACCAGTAAAAATCCGGAGGCATTTTTAATTATAAA